TCCCCAAAGGTCTCTCTTCCTTCCCAAGTTGGGGGGGGGGAAGCATGCAAAGCCCGCCTCTTTCATTTTGCAGAGGACAGGTGTGATTCTCACCTGCCTTAACGCAATCTATCACTTGCATGCTCCTGGAAGTACTACCACAATGGGAGGCCATCGAAGCGGCTGTAAATCTTTGGCAGACATTGTCCCCCTTTTTTTAAGAGCCTGTCTTTGAAATCCAAACGCTCCAGAACCTGGTTTTAAAAAAAAATTAACAAGCAACAACCCCCCCAACATCTGGAAGCTCATTTAGCACGGTGTGCTGTGTTTTATTTTAGAGGCCATATTCTGTGCTTCCTAGTGAAACTGGAATGCCTGCCCCTTGCTGGTGCAACTTTGACGCAGTACGGAGGGCTGCAAGTTACCTTGCTTTTTTTGTCAATCATTAGCATATCTTTAATGCTCTGTTTCTCAGTGCCGGTGTGCATCATGGTCTGTGAGTGTCCCCTCTGTGCATTTAATTTGTTTACCATAAATGCAGACTTCCTTTTCCAATGAACTGGGCTGCTAGGTTCATTCCCTCTTCGTGCACTGTGTGTGTGTGTGTGTTTAATTGTGCCCGTTAGTGCTCAGAATGCACCTCTTTGTTAAATGGAGCTTGTTGGATCGCAGCGTACCCCAAATTGGGGGAAGAAGAGGAGTGGGGGTAACTGCCAGCGTCTGTCCTGAGCAAGAAAATGGTTCAATAGGCTTTAATGAGCAAAAGTAATGAGCAGGAAAAAGAGGGTGGAAAACTCAGAGCATGAGTAAAATGGTGTTGGGCGCGTTGAAGTGCACACACCCTGTTGTTACAAATTTTTTAAATCTTAGCAAAAGGAAAAGGAAGATACAAGAGGTGGAGAATATTCTAACATAGCTGCCCAATCTAAAGATTTCACTACGGATTTTACTATTTCGGGTATGAACAGTTCGATACGGGATAAAAGCCGATGGTTGATTAGCTAAAACTAATTTGATTTAGTGCTCAAAGAGGTGTTGTTGTTGTTTTTTTATGCTGATGGGAAAATATTTTGAATTTTCCCTACTTTTCCATTGTGGAATGTTGCTTTAACGAGGAATGATTTAAAAAAAAAATGTCACGGATAAGCTTTGAAAGGCACGAATAGCTTTTAAAATTACGTTTCTTCATTGGATTTCTTCATTATTTTGTAAGGGCAGTTTTTACACCAAACTTGGGGTAATAGGCTTATAGAGGTACCTGATCTAAGTTGAAATGATGAATTAGTTGACAGCTGATTATTGACAGATTAGTTGATAGTGTTAGATTTCTGTTTATTTTCTGAAAAAGATATAATAAACCATTAGAGGTTATTAAGGAGAGGGCGGGGGGGGGGGCTGTTCAGTTTGCAGATCTCAGCAAGAATAAATTGTGGAATTCTTCACGGATGCTGAAATGTTCCACCAAATACTGCAGGACGCGTCAAAACCAGCCCGGCCATTACACCTGAAATTTGTCGTCTGCCTCGACCTGCGACCAACTCACAGTTGCTGCTCCAGACTTTCCCAACTTATGCCTTCCAGATGTCTGGGGCTTCCACTCCCATAATTGCCAGGATGAGGATTCAGAAGGCAGACATCTGGAAAGCACCAGGTTGGGAAAGCTGGCATGTACGTATTCTACTGGACAGCATTTGATGCAGGCCTTCTCTGCCTTAGCTGTGGGTGACTTAGATCTCCTCCTGCAACGTGCATCTCTTCTATCACACCTTTGGGAGGAAAAACAGGCCAGGTCTGTTTTAAATTTCCTCTGCTAAAAAAGTCTGGATTCGGTTGCTCCTCAAAAATCTACCTAGAGGGTGAAAGTCGATGTTTGCTTTCCAGACAAGATGGTGCCCGGCTCCACAGCGTCCCTGGTGCCTCTGAGTGAATCAGTTGTGGATTGAGAGAGTTGCGGCCAAGTTTGCTTTTTCATTGACCAGGATCCCAAGTCTCAGCCCTTACGATTGTCTGGGTGTTTTCGTAACGGAGGCGTAAACCAGCTGAAAGGACGCACAGGCTCCTTTGTTGGTAGCGGCCCATAGCTCTGCCAAGGCAAACGCTGACGGGTGCACCATCTCCGGGGCTGGATGTGGTGGGGCGAAGCAAATGCAAAGGGGAAGAACGGCATTGCCTGGCTGGCCTCTTTGCAAGGGGAAAAAAGAGCTCCTTTTGGGCCACCTCCCAAGCAGGAGATACGCTGCGTGGTAGGTGGATTTTAACCCGCTCAGTGTTTGGCACTGACACTTTATTTAATAAACTTGTACGACACCTTCGGCCCCGGGTACCTCCCAGCTGGTTACGGGTTTGGAAACTGGGCTGGGCTGGTGGCCGGGAGGGGAATCCCCCAGTGGGCAGAGACCCAGGGGTTCGGGCAGATGGCAAACCAGCTGGGTCCCCTGCGGAACGAGGCGTTAGCTCGGACCTAAAACGAGCCTGTTCTTCTCCAAGTCAGGCTGGTCTCTGATAAGCCAGAAGCCGTTCGGACCCGTCGGGGACGCTCTCGGATCGGGGGTCCTTTAACCGAACGGAAACCGCTCTCCCGTGCCGCCGAAGTCAGGGTTCTTTCGTGAATAGATTCTGGGGCCCGCTCTGCTTGGCACTTTCCACCCCCCACCCCCCCAGATTTTAAATCCTGGGTTTCAGCATTGCAGCAGCGATCGGTTTGGTCAATCATTTTTGGAGCGAGCTGGTGGGGATTTTTCAAATCCAGTTTCCCGGTGCCTTAGCCTGGATCGGTGCAGGATTTTAATTCAGACGCCCCCTGATTTACAAGATGCGTTCAGCATCTGAGAAGGGGTGTGTTTTGTCGTGGGGCAGGAAGACGGCCGAGGCCTCTCCGAACTTCGGCCAGTGTTGAATTTGTGATCCGTTTAGCTACAGGCTGCTTCCATATAATGGGGGGGGGGGGTTACCATGCATCCTTGCAGAATGACAGTCACGGTCCCCATTTCGAGAGTTGGTTCTTGCGTCTCCAGGGCATGAGAAGGGAGAAAAATTATCCTTCCGCCTGAGCCCCCCCATTTCTTACAGATTTATTGAGCCTGCGCCTCTGTCTTGGACGGCCAGCCCTTTTAATTTTTTTTATTTTAGGGAATCTGATTGAGGAAGTCGTGCGTTAAGCCACAAGCCCTCTTTCCCAATTTGCGCCTGCTGGTTGGGGGATTCTGGGACTTGAAGTCCAACCCATTCGGAAGGTCCCCGTCAGGGAAGGCTGCATTCAAAGCTGCCCGTGAACTCTTTCCATGAGATCAGAATAAACATCCTTCGCCTTTCCCTTCCTGCAACCATCATCCATTTCAGGCAGTTTAATTATTAACTTGGGGAGCAAGATGTTGAAAAACATCTGTTTGCTCGAAGGATGAGATTATGATTAGCCCGGGCAGCTGAAGCTACTGTGCAAATGGTGGAGAAATCGAGCATTAGAAGCCGGGGAGGAGGAGAAGGGGGGCCATGTTCCTCAACCTTGGCAACTTTAAGATGGGCGGCCTTCAACTCCCAGAATTCCCCAGCCGGCGTGCTGAAGTCCAGGCATCTTACAGCATGCTGGCCGGGGAATTCTGGGATCAGGTAAGGCCCGCCATATTTGGCCAACGGAGTTACAGCTAAGGCTCGCGTCAGAGCTTCGGGGTAGGTTTTCATTTCTTTATTTGTTAGAGTTACATCCAGCCTTTTGTTCAGGAGTTTTATGGAGCATACGAAATAAAACCCCTATGAGGTAGGCCAGTCTGGGAAAGTGTGATTGGCCCAAAGTTCCCCAGGGAGCTTCCATGGGTGGGGAGGTTGGGGGCTGGACTAGCAGTGGGAGACCCAGACCCACAAACTCCCACCTCCAAGATTGTATTCCCAGTTTGTCCTTGTATGACTAGATCAGTGTTTCTCACCCTTGCTGAGTTTAAGATGAGTGGACTTCAACTCCCAGAATTCCCCAGCCAGAATTCTGGGAGTTGAAGTCCACCCATCTTAAACTCAGCAAGGGTGAGAAACACTGGACTAGATTTCTGCAAGATACTCCACCTGAAGCTCAAACTAAGAAATCAGAAATGTTGTATTCACGTAACATGCTGTGTACCAATAAGCCATATGGCTTTCCCCTCTATAGAGTCTTGATTTTATTCCATTTCTTTTTTTGTTAAAGGAAAATCTTCCGCCTGAGGATCTTGGCTGTAAAAGATGGGTTAGAAACGTTGTAGGTCAAATGCCTTATCTTTGTAGGTAAAATCAATTATATCCCCCAGATGAGGATCTGTGAATCTTGGGGGGGAGGAAAAATCTGAACTACCTTTTCCTACTCTCTGTGTGGGTGGCTTAATAAGTAATGAGAATATTTAATGTCCACGTGGTACCTGTTTTTCTTCTGAAATCTGCTTTGCATATCATGATCTGTTCTCACGTGGAAAGGAGGTAAGTTCCAGGTGAAGGATGTAGCTTCGTGGTGGGCCTTAAGCAAGCCATGTTTCACCGGTGGCCTTTCTACATGAGGAGCGATCATGCTACACACAGCAGAAGAAAAGCAGGTGTGTTAAATATACTCTTTAGTTACCACTAACTGGAATTTTATTCCAAGTGAACCTCGTAGGCTTGAACGGGAAGTATCCTTGAGGATGTTGGCCCAAAGGGAAGGGAAGCTAACTGGGTCTCTCCCCAACCTCACCACCTTTGGGTGACTCCTCAAAAGCTGGCATGCAACTTATGAAAAGAAGGTGCCATCTTGGTGGCAGGTGGGCCAAGGCCCTTCTCAGTTCAGGGAGCATTTTGGTCCTACGAGCAAACTTGGATTTCCGTGCCTTCTAGGTACATACAGCCACAACCCCATCTTCCCCAGCTAACACAGCCTTGGGAAAGGTTGGCTGCAGAGGCAGCAATGGAGCTGTAGTCCGACTCACCTGGTGGGCAACGCCTGGAGAAAGCAACGGCCCAGGCTCATTTGAGACGTGGCCTTGCTTTGCCTTGATGCTTCCTCTCCGTTTCTTCCTCCCAGTTACATGGTTCGGGTGCGGGCTGTGGTGATGACCCGAGACGACTCAAGCGGCGGTTGGGTGCCCATGGGCGGTGGTGGCCTGAGCCATGTGACCATCTGTAAAGTCCGGCACCCAGATGAAGGGCAACGCCGCCAGTACCTGATCAACGGAGAGCGCCTCCGGGACCAGACGGTGAGACTGATGGGACGGGGAGGCTGGTAAGAGGGGGTCAGTTGGCAACCAAAGAGATTAAGACTAAATTAGAAGACCCTTCCTCTCCTTCCATGGCAGGAGGGGATGGAGCATAGGGGATGGTGCCTTTAACCTGCAGGACTGCAGCTGTCATTAATTCAATGTATTAAGGTTTTGCTCAGGAGGCTTCCACATCAGCACCAGCCTTAATCCCGGGGGCAAAGCCAGTCTCTCTCCACATTTAGGTCAGTGTGGCCTTGGTGGGCAGCACTGGGGGTCCTCCAGCAGCTCTTCCCATATATAACCCACTCTTCCTCCTCCTTCCTCTCCTGCAGACCATCTTGGAGTGTGCCTTGAAAAGGGACCTCGTCTACAACAAGGTGAACCCCATTTTCCACCACTGGAAAGTGGGGGACAACAAGTTTGGCCTCACCTTTCAGAGCCCTGCAGACGCGGTGACTTTTGAGAAGGGCGTGCAAGCCGCTCTGAAGGAGATCACGGAAGGTGAGGGGACCGCGGGAAAGCAGGGAGGGCTACAGGGACTTGCATGGAGCCATTGGGGAAACCAGCAGCCTCCCTTAAGCCCATTATAAAACAACCTCCGAAGGTTTCTGGTTCAAGGCTCACGGCACTGATAAACATCCAGGCTCTCTTAGGTGTCGTTTTCTGAGCTCCGATGTTCACCCTGGAATAGGAATAATTTGTAAGATGCTTGTAAGGATTATGGCGATCGCTACCGAGAGCTGTAGAAATGCTGAGTAATTGTATCGTCTTCTGCCAGGGCTTTGCATTACTTGAAACGGATGCAGGAGACCCGTGAGGGTTCTTGGACGTAGCTTAGAAAATTCAGGAGTTCATTCTAGAATGATCATGATTACTATTTTAAATTTATAATAGCCACCCACTCCCATAGACTCTGGGCGGCGTACAAATCCGAAACACTAAGAACGGTTAAAAACGTACAACCCCGAAGGCAGCCTGGATTAAAACAAAATTAAATCAGTTACCGACCAAACCAAACCAGACCAGGGGCCCTTTTCCTAAATTTTCCGATAAGTTGGCCAAGGCCTGAAGAAATTTGCATTTTTTCCTCCTCTTTGTACATTTTATTCAGGATAAAGGCCTCTTGTTGCTGCTGTTTAATTTTTTTTTTTTAATTATTGCCGGTATAATTTTATGCACCTATTTAAGTTGTTATTTCCGTCTTTCAGGTTCCCTTTCACCTTCCTCCAGTGCCTCTGGCTCCTCTTCCTCCTCCGAGGATGAAGCAGCTGGCCGGGACGAGGCCCTTACTGTGAGTCTGTTTTCTATCTCCAAACGAGGGGCTTCTGACCATAGCGGGGCAGCTTTTCCCATGCCCATTAGCCATCCCAAAACATCTCTTTTTTTTTTTTTTAAGCAAGTTTCTGTCCTTTTGATTACCAGTGTAAAGTTCAAACCATTCTCCAAGGCCTGATGATATTTCAGAAGTCGGGGTCTGTAGACAGATAGGTTGAGTTTCCTATCCAATAACTGAGGTGCTGGTTTCTGGGGACGTTGCAAAGTATTTGCTTCTCCCGCAAAAGTAGTCCTTTCTCGGCGGTGAGGGTTGCATCGGAAGAGAAACCAGGGAAAGTCCATCCCCAGCCGTGGAAGTTCAGGAGGTGATTTTGGGCTGGTGAGGGTCTCTCAACCTTAATGTCCCCCACCATCAGATGGTGGCTGTCAGGAAGCGGAGACCCATGTATTTGGTGTTGACCTCTTGGAGGAAAGACAAGATAGAAATACAATAAACCAGTGTTTCTCAACCTTGGCAACTTTAAGAGGGGTGGACTTCAACTCCCAGAATTCTATGCTGGCTGGGAAATTCTGGGAGTTGAAGTCCACCCCTCTTAAAATTGCCGAGGTTGAGAAACATTGCAATAAACAGTAACGGTAGTAGTAATGACAGTGATACTCAGTTGTCATCTCTATATGTTTGGGGTTACCATGAAATCTGGGCTTCCATAGCCAAAGGACTCGAACGGGCAGGTGCCATGGGCCTCTTGACCAGGTCTCTTGCGAAATTGATTTTTTTTTTGGCATTAAAAGTTGGTTTCTCCTTGGGGCTCAAGCGAAAATCCAGGACCTCCACAAAGGCCTGCTCTCAGACCCAGCGTAACCTCAGCATTGTGGCTTCTCTCTCTAGGTGCACACGGACAGCGAGTCTTCCTCGAACAGTCAGAAGGAAATGCTGCCCAAGCCCCTCACCATTGTGACCAGTGAGTCCTCCTCCACCTGCTTCATTCGTTCCCCCATTTCTGAAGAGTTCCCCTTCAGTTCAACACAAGGGGCGGCCTCAGCTGGACCGGTGCGTATTCAGGACCCAGCCATACTTGGGGATGGTTTAAAACTTTGGGCTAGGTTTGCATTCCTGCAGGTTTAGGATTTAGATAGTCATCTATGGTGGCTAGGAGAATGTCATCGGGTGAGTCATTCCTTTGTCTTTTCGCCTTTCAGGTGAAAAGATGGGTTTGTGGGTAATTCCCATAAATCCCTGTTTCCCAACAACTCCATGTTGTAGTTCTCACCTTGGTGGACTCGAGAGCAGTGTTTCTCAACCTGGCTGAGGACTTCTGGGAGTTGAAGTCCATACATCTTAAAGTTGCCAAGGTTGAAAAACAGTGATCTAGAGAACGTACCATTGCCTTTCATGCTGCAGCCCTGTGGATGACCCCGTTCAGGAGACCCTGTCTTGATTCTGGAAATGTGGACTAGGGAACAGTGGATTGTGGGTGTCCTCAGTGGGAGGTGAGTAGGAGTTAAACACTGAGGCAATTGTGTGGAAGCAAGATAAGCCCCTTAGAAGGCGGGTCTCCAGTCCCTTCAGTGTTTATGCCGAAGCTTCTGCCATTGAGGACACATTCCTCCAGGCCATAGTCAAAAGGGCATTACCCACTCATGGGGATAAAGATGTTTCTTCCATAACATCAATTGTAGGAGCCCAGGAGAAAGGGTCCCCCCTTCTTTTCTGGATCAAACAGTCTTGCTTCATAGCTCACCCCCTCCTCTCCCCTCCTGTCAGCCATTTTGGGCTTGGCAAAGGAGCCCTTGATGATCATTTGACAATGACCTGGTTCTTTTGCCACTGTCTGTTCACCTCTTGATATCCTTTCCCCAAATAAGGAAATTGGAAACGGGTTCCTTTCCTTATTTTTCCGACACAAGAAATGTGAAAGCAGCTGTTTCCAGATGTTTGGGGTTGTATCCATGCTAGACATTCCACCCTGCACCTCTGTTCTGTTTAGAAGAGGGAGCAAACACTTTTGAAAAGCGGACCGTTCCACATTCATGTTGTTTCAGATGCGCTTGAGAACATGGTTTCCCCCAAGGATCCCACTGAGAGTCATTTGCCAGGGAGGCCCTGAGAGTTTTTCTGCCTCTTCTCTTAAATGCTGCACTGGCTTCCCACCTTGTATTAAGCCCGTTCTTGTTTGATGTTGGTTTATCACACTGCACCAACCCAGTTATGTGCTCCGTCGTCCATTGTGGCAGGGTCTGCCAATTGTGGTGGCGGCAACGTCATCAACAAATCTCAGCTTAGCCCAGTGATGACGAACCTTTTGGGCTCGGCGTGTCAAAAATTCGGAAAATGCCTAACTTGGTTCTGCTGGCGTGTCATACTCCGCCCCCCAAACGAAAGAGAAACAATTCTTTACCTATTCATTTATTTTTAAAAAATGCAGTCCAATCACGTGTAGTGTATTATATAAAGAAACGTCAAATAATTACAAAAATGAAATACGAGTCAAACAAACTCAGTTTCTTCTATAACTCAGACAGGAGAAGAGTTGTGGTCGGGTGTTGGTGAACACTGGCGTGTCACCCAGAACATCATGGCGTGTTACCTGTGACACGCGTGTCATAGGTTTGCCATCACTGGCTTAGCATATTGGGTAGATTGAGCCCCAGGACTCTTCTACACGGCCCCCCTCCTGCCCCTTCAGCACCTCCATTGCCCAGGTGTCCTCACAGATGCAACTGTCCCCCTCTTGAGCTAGCCACTAAGTGGAATACAGTCCACAGCCCACCAACAACTTGCCCCCATCCTCGCGCTTCCTTGGCTGTGTCTTCTTTTTGCCGCAAAGAAAAAAAAGAAAATACCAACATCCACTGAGCGTGGGGTGAGGTGGAGAGTGGGCAAAGCTGCTTCTTGGATCAGCTGGGAGGATGGGGGAAAGGTGGCCAGTGGTGGACATGGAGGGGAGTTCCAGCCTCCTGTCTCGCAAGTCCAGAGGGGATGTTGCCGAACAGTCTTTGCAGTGTTTCTCCTGCAAAGTATTCCGCCAACAACTTAGGTTCCTCAGCACCACACAGACCGTGTGTCCTCCTCGGGGCGCAATCCTCGGTGCAGAAAGGGCTGTAGTCCCCAGGGCTCCCAGGGTGGAGGAACAGCCAGCCAATCATTCATCGTAAGCGTTGGGTGTTTCCAGAGCAGGTTGACAGCTCACGCTCCAGCCCGGGCTTCCTTGTTCTGCCCCAGCTCGCGCGTGTTCCCCAGGTGCGATCTCTACCCTCTCCTTCTCTGCCCGCCAGGTCCAAGCCCAGCCCTTGCAGCAGCTGAGTCTCCCGGAGGAGGAGGAGCTAGAGAGCATCACCCCGTGCCCCTGGGTCACCAAAGGCTACGAGGACTACCGCCGGGCCGTGGTTCAGAAGCACCAGCCGGACGCCGAGAAGATCAACCTGTGCGTCCACTTTGAGAAGGGCGGCCGAGCCAGCCGATCCCCACGGGAGAAGGAGTACAGCTTCCCGCCGGGGGCCGAAGGGCGGCTCAAGGACCCCAAGGCCTCTCCCTCCTGTCGGATCCACGGGGCCTCCTCCCCTGCAAAACACAAGCCATTGAAGGAGCAGCCGCCGCCGCCGCAGCCCCCGGCCCCTGGCGCCATGGGCGTGGAAGAGGACACGGTGCCCTCGCGGTGCGTCTACTGCCGGGACGTCTTTAACAACGATGAGAACGGGCGGGGACAGTGCCAAGATGCGCCGGACCCCATTGGCCACTGCGTCTACCAGTTCACGTGTATGTGGTGTGCGGAGAGCATGCTCTACCACTGCATGTCGGACTCAGAAGGGGAGTACTCGGACCCTTGCTCCTGCGACACCGGCCACCCGCACTTCTGTATCCGCTGGCTGGCCCTGGCCACCCTCTCCCTGGTGGTCCCGTGCATGTGCTGCTACCTGCCCCTCCACGCCTGCTACTCGTGTGGTGAGCGCTGCGGCTGCTGCGGCGGCAAGCACAAAGCCGTCCGGTGAAACTGTGCAGATCCTGGGCGCGCCGTTCAGTTTTTCGCCACCAGGGCCGTAGCAGGCGTAAGCCAGGCGGCTTTCCTCCGAGACGGAGGCTTGCTGGGGTTCCGGTCCCTCCCCCGGCCAGCTCTCCCCCCCACACTCCCTTTCGCCCCTTGGGGGAGAAGGACCCCTGGTGAGGATGGTTGGCGGCACTCCTGGGAGAGGCCTCGAGGGACGACGTCCTGTCCCAAAACGGGGGCTTTCTTTATTGCAGGAAGAAAAAGCAAGAAGCGCGATTGACCCTTTATTGTAAGCTCTGCAGTCAGATGTTGTTATGGGAGCACACCAGGCACGTATTTCCCCCCTCCCCGCAATGTTCTATTTAGAGGTCGTTTTGGGGGGTTTGGTTTGGGGGTTTTTTTGTAAAGGAAGGGGATGATTCACTTGGGAAAATGAAAGAGAGGACTATGAAGTAACCTTGACTAAAGTTTACTATGAACTCCTAAAGCATCCTGCGTTTTAACGATGCCAGTAATATCCATGAGATCCGCCTGTATTTGCTGTATGCGTTTGGACGAGTCCTAGGCAGGCCTTGGCCAACTTGGATGCTACCAAGATGGACCTCACCTACCAGCTGTGTATTTTGACAAGCCAGTCAGGCAGGTAAAGCGTTTCCCTCCCCCCCAACCCCCCCAGGATGTCTTCTCAAGACCAAGATGCAGCAGGGTTGCCTGTATGATGCAGGCTTGCTGGCTCACCCTGGGCGAGGAGAAGGTGGCTCTCTTAGGCACCGTGCCCTGCTCTCCTTCCCCCTTCCTGATACGTTGCAGTCTGGATTTTTAAATCCTCCCGGGTAGTTCTGTGCATGATGTTTAATGATGTGCTGAATATGTCTCTGTCTTACAAGGCTGCTTTCTGTGAGTGAACAAGAAGCACTTGCTGGGGGGGAGTGCAGGAAGACAGGCATGGTGGATTCATTTCCTTGTCATTAAGTCAGCTGTCCCCAACCGTCCCAGCCTGGTGGCTTCAGCTTCCCTCCTCTTCTTTCACCGTTCCAGCTGGGCATGCTGGAAATTGTAGTCCAAGACATCTGGAGGGTGCCAGGTTGATTTAATAATAACAATAAACCCCATAACTCTTATCCAGCCAGGGGCGTGTCTGCTTGGCATTTTAGCTTTCTGCTCAGGCCCCGTTTGCTTTGGAGGGTTGCCAGCTGGTGCAAACCTGGGAAAGGGGGGGCTTGCTGATTGGCATAGGTTTGGCTGCCCTGAAGGTGGGCAGAAGTTCTCAAGAAGACCACGTTTGGGGCCTTCAGCTCATACCCAGGACCCTGATTTGCTAGGCTGCTCTTCCTGAGATTTTTCCCCGGGTTGCCTGTACTGTAACTCTTAGCATCCCAAACTCAGAGCAGTCTCCCTGGCATTTCCAGGCTAAAAAACACAGCCATCAAAGGTTTACTGAAAGAAGAAAAGGCCCGTCTTTCTCCTGGCTGTTTTGCCCTTAAAATACCACTTGTCCATCCATTATATGATAACCCTTCTTCCCCCTCTCTGCTTTCCCCATTAGAATTGGGTGCAAGCTTTTTCTGCACGGGTCTGGGTGTGCGTGCACACCACACACCCAGGCACAACATACAAAGCCTGCTTCAAACGCACAAGAATTCCAGCCGGGTTTGGGCTGCACTTTTCTTTAGAGAAGTCAAGGAAAGCATGGAAAAGGGTGAACTCGCTGCATGAAAGATGAGCTGTCAAGATGGGGTTTGGCCTTGGCTGGAAGGGAGCCCCCGGTTTGCACACAGAAGGTTCTGGGTCTCCAGGTGGGCTGAGAAAGGGTTCTTGGAGACCTGGTCATTGTTGGCAATGTTCAGGTAGAGGCACCAGTGGAATAAAGGGACCTGAAATCCTGTGAGTTCACTGGACCGTGCTTTTCAGGAGTCCTCTAATGGAGCTCCATTTTGGTCTATTTTTTCTGTTCCCCATGTAGCCTTTCTGGCTGTTCTCTTGCCGTTTCTTCCCGTCCTCTGACTCAAAAAAAAAAAAAAGATTTTTTTCTTTAAGAACCCCAAGCTTCAAAATTGTAGGGATTATGCAAAATAATCTGATATGCAGATGATATGGCTTGCATAATTTATTTAAAGCAGATCTGCGGATTTCCTCTAGCAAAGAGCTGGATGGACGTGGCGCTTTTTAAAAAAAAGAAAAGAAAACAGCCCCTGCTGCGTTTTAAAATAAGGTTCTTGATCTTTTGTATGTGAGTTTTCAGCATCTGGAGATGTTAAAAATGTAGGCTGTGTTAAGAGCTAAAGGATTGGCCCTTCCCTCAACTTGGAGGGTAATTTTTAAAGTCTTTTGGAAAACTTCTAAATGGTTGGTTCTGAACACAAAGTGTAGAGGGCAATTCTTATTCCGAAACGTTTTACTTCTCCGCTCTCCCATTTTCACCGGGGAGCCCAACATAAGAGTTTGAATGAAAGAAAGAACGTGCGATGGGATAAGGAAGCGGGATTGCCTGTGAGAACGAATGAAACATTTCAACAGAGAAGAGCACATTCAAAGCATTCTTTCCTTTCCTTCTTGCGCACACAGAGCGACCGCAAGACACCCAAGACAGACCGGGTCAGAGGGTCTCCAGACCTTTAAGACTGGTATTTGTATGATATGTAAAGCTTGAAGGACCATGAAGAGAACACAAAGGAAAAAAATAATAATAATCAGTGGATTTCCTCATTTAAGTCGTAATGGTTGGAATATGTGTTCCAGTGGGAGGGGGGAGCATCCTTGGCATGACCAAGATTGTGGCTGCATCCTGCCCTTAATATATACCGTGATACTTTTTTGGGGGGGTTTCTTAACGCCAGGAAGCAAAGCAGAACCAACACGGCTTGGTTCGAGATTCTGTCCGGCTTGTTAAAAAGGCTCCTCCTCACGTAGACAGGGTTCGGCTTACAGGGTACACACACACACACACACACACCCCTGTTGTTTTCTTCCTGCTTGTTACGTATATTAGTTGGTGAGGGGGCACATTGCTTGCTCAAGCCTCAGCCAGGGCTGAGAAGCATCAGAGGGGGAATTTTTGTCCCGCGCGTCTCCCGGGGCCTGGCAAGGTTTTAATTACAGAACTGAGCTGCAGAAAATGGTACTTGGAGGGCAGGGACAGGGGGGGGGCGGGAAGGAAAACAAAGGGGCAGGTGGGTTTTCTTCCCGTGTTTTGAATGAATAATGCATCCTTTCTAAAGTCACAACAGGGGCCTGAATGCATCTCCCATCACACACAGCCGATCGATACAAGCTTCGCTTTCTACTGTGCTCCGTTTCAATTAAATTTCCAAAGCACAAATGTCTGTTTAATCATGATATGTCACTGTTTAGTTAGGAAATTTATTGCTGCAACCCCAGTATTTTTTTTTTTTAGTCCTTCTGATGTAAATTATGTCCGATTCCAGTTTACTAACTGAGCAACTGAGGCAGAACCAGGAAGTAACTCAAAAAAGCATCCGAGAGTCTTAAGGAGATTTAACTAGCGAGTTTCGTATCAGCAGGCAGAACTCACCAAGGCCTCGAGTGGTGTGTCTTTGGGTTAATTCGCTCCCTGTTAAATACCGAGGCTAGATTCCCGCAGGTGCGTATGGTTGGAATCCATCTTGTGGGCCCATATTTATGCTTTTCTAAAAAAAAGTCCAACGCTGCTTCCTGTCCTCTATAGTGGTATTTCTAAGCACGGAAAAGCAAACGTCACAAAAACTATCATATTCATGTGGGTGTGAGTATGGTTGGATTAGGATAGGATAGGATAGGATAGGATAGGATAGGATAGGATAGGATAGGATAGGATAGGATAGGATAGGATAGGATAGGATAGGATTGGATAGTTAATGGTCCAAGACAGATCCAATCAAACTGGCAGAGACGCGCCTCCCTTCCAACTTCAGCATCCTTGCAAGCCGCAGGTATCCCAAGAAATTGGAGTTTCTGCACACACCTCGTCCCTATGCTGCTTGCAGCAAAACCACACTTGGTTACTTCCTTGACCCCATTGGTCTAAAATTGGGCATAACTCAAGGGGGCCGTCTTCCCATCCTGCTTTTCCTTGTGGCTCCAACCTCTCTTGTTAGTAACACAGGCTTACAACTAAATCTCATTCAGAGAAATCATGGGGAGAATTCTGCTGGCTCATGTCCAATGTTCTCAGCTCCGTCTCCTATTTATATTTCTCCTTCCCTGCTTGGATCCAGAACCAAATTGTAAAGCCTGAATTCCAGGTCCTGCATTTTGCATTAGGGCAACTGCTGTGCCCACCCGCCCTCGGTATTGCCCCGAATCTGTTATGCTGGCACCTCTCAGAATTCCTAGATAACATGGCAGCTCTGATCGGGAAGGCTGTGCTGAAACGGGCAGACCTTGAGATGGAGGAACAGGGAGCGCAAACCTGGAGGACGGGGTGAAAAAGATGGTGTGTTGCAGGAGGCCACGTACCTGCCTGCAGTCGCTTTCCTTCTGTTTTAGGCATTTGCCAAGGAAAGGAGTCAACAGAAACCAAAACGGAAGGGGGAAAGGAAGTTTATGTTCCAATTTTTTTTTTCTAATGTGGTTGCCAAGCTGATTTTCTTTCCTGTTTTAAGTATTTTATCAGATTTGTATATTCAGTATTGGAATTTCTGTGTATTTTAAAAATATTTTTAAAAGGGTGGCACAGAGGGCACTGGAAGAGAATGCTCTATTATTTAAAACTGTATGATGTAAATTAAAAAGAAAACATTACACACAACAGAAGCAGCCTGGCATTCGGATTCTTATCCTCACGGCATAATGGTCTCTTCTTTCCAGCAGTACCTGAAAATGTTACGTTTCTTTTTCTAAGTCAATTTCAGAACTTCCCTGGTGTCTCCTTTTCCCCTGCTCCTGTCTAAAAACTTAGGCAGAATTTCCTTGGATTGGAAGATGCAGTCATTACCTAAGACTAATAAACTACAGTCATCCTCACAAACAAAACTGACCAAGTTACTAGTCCACAAGTGTTTGTTTTACTTACGTTACTCAATTGCAGTCTTAAACTCCATACTGAAAAGTAAGTGCTATAGAATTCTGTTCTGGTTGGTTAGTTTCATATAATAAAATATTTAAAATTTGAATTCAATTTCTATCCTCTATACCATAAGTCATACTTCTTGAGTTCTTTTGGTGAATAGAAAAAGGAAAAAAAAATGCTGCTGTATCAGCAAGAGAGGAAAAAAAACCATTTAGGGAGTTCTTTAGCCTCTTAATAGGACAAACCAAAATGTTCAAAATGTTTGCAAGCATTTCAGCTTCTCCTCAAGCTTAGTGGTAAAAACGAAACAAAACAGAACTATGGAAGAATCAGAAAAACGACAAATTAGACTCAAAAATGTGGCCTGTTGATTGGATCCAGCTTCATGATGAAGCTTGCCAACAGAAGAAATCAGTCACTATTAGATATTTGGCTTCTGTCTCCTCCTGGACCAAGTCAACTCTCTTTTTCAATATATCTTACAGAAATCTTCAGAGCAGAATATTCCAACACCAGACATTCCTGGTGTTTCCCCATCCACTGGGAGCTGGCATCTGAGGAGTTTGCCCCTTCCAATTAACATTTTCCTCCTTGGCGGACCACCTGTCATCTGCATCTCTGCTGAATTTTTCTCTTTGCTTCTGTCCTCGCAACCTCTGAGTTGTCTTGGAAAGATCCAGGTTTCCAAAACTGCTTCCCGCAACGATCCCTTCATTTTTTTCTTTTAAATTAATTTGGAAGCCGCCCGATGCTGGGCAGCTTATGAAAAGAAAGAGCAACGTAAATCATCATCATCATCATCATCAATAAATTAGATTGAAACAAATGACAAAAATAGCTCCAGAGTAACGATGGCAATCCAGACCACAGATCAAAACACATCAAGCTATTCCTCCGGGCGAACCAGCTTTCTTTTAAGACCAAGTCTAAAATGCAGACCTAATTTTAGGGCTGGTCTCATCCTCGGACCTGGGCTCCTTCCTAACTTCTTTCGACCGCTTGACCGCCGAAGCGAAACGGGCAGGCTGGACTGCCCTGCTGTCCTAGGCCAGAACGTGGATTGTTGAGTCGGGCATCTTCGGGAAACCTCCCCATTGTGGTTTCTCACAGTTCCTAACCCTGTTAGTCTTTCGCAAGGCATTCAAGACCTGTCGGTTTCTGCTGGCCTTCGAGTCGAGTGGGTAGGCACGCTGGATTATTGTTGAAGTTTGGGTGTTTTGTTGCTGCTGAGTGGGGGCGAGGGTTAGTTTTTGGTTGCTGGGGGGCTACACATGGGGGGCTTCCTGTTTTCATCTTTAGGCGTCGCTCACTGAGGTGGGCAGCTGTAGAAATGTATACGATTTAGATCCCTGCTTTTCAAACTTGGCCACTTGAAGGTGTGTGGACTTCGACTCCCAGAGTTCCCTGGCCAGAATGCTGCCTGGGGAATTCTGGGAGTTGAAGTCCACACCTCTTAAAGTGGCTGAGGTTGACGAACAGATTTAGATCATCTAGCGGCCCAGATTGTGCTTTAAGATGGGGAGGGCATACCATTCTTTAAAATAAACAATAGTTTATGGCTTAGCCGGTCGTGCAAATCCAGGAGGTTGTGTTTTATGGAAGAAAGCGGGGCTTAAAGCCACGCTTGCCCACTGGTGTCATTTTGGGTGCTCCCAATGACGGCATCCATTCCCGTCTACAGGCGCTCGAGCGTACACCCAGAGGAAGGGTCGCACACGTATAGCACGAGCGCGTGAACACCCAGCCCAGGTCCACACACGCGTGTTTGTATCCACACACGGAGTATATGCGCCCCCGTCGCGGAGAAAGCCCGGCGTGGAAGGGGGGGCTCTGCGCATGCTAAGAAGCAGGGCGCTCGGCTCGCCCA